CGGCTATTTTTTGGTTGCAGCCATCATTGTTGTTTGGCGGGTCCGGGCTGGGGATTCGAACCCGCCACCTTAGGTGTACGTGGCTGGCGCCCTAGCCGGTTGAGCTATAGGCGCCGAGCCGAGGCTCTGTCTTAAAAAAAAGAATGGGCAGTCTGTTAATTCCCAGGTCTTCACTTGATTCAGACTGTCAGATTCTACGGCAGAGGACTTCATGAATTCATACTTTTAAAAAATTAATTCATACTTTTAATTTTATGAAGCACAGTTAACTTTAAGGTCGGCAGGATAACAACCCCAATGTGGTCAGTTAATATGGCAGCATGCTCCGATAAGAAAGATTCTACCCCAACATCAGAGGAAGGTTTTCCTCTGTGGAGAGTATTTCTGCCAAATCAGGTGTGAACTCTATGTTAAAGAAGCTCAGGCAGGTCTGCCATGTTCCTAACTGTACACTGGGGAGACACTTCTCTTCTGAGCCCTAGCTTCACCTTAGGGCTGCTATGAGGATTAAATGAGATAAGGCCTGTAGAACACTTGGCATAGTGCCTGCACATCTGAAGTTCTCAATAACTGATGCTTATAAATCTTAAACCCCAAACAAACTAAAAACCCTAATCTCAGCTCTCTTGCTCATGCATTTGAGTAACCAATCCTAAGAATGGAACCTATCACTTTCAAACAAAGCAGGCAACCGTCTAAACTTTTCCTTTTGGAAAACTTGTCAGTTTCTTTCTTGTTTGACTGATCAGTGGGTGGGGATGAAAAAATTAAGAGACACAGAGCCCAATTACAATAGACACAATAACCTCCACAGGCTCACTCTTCTAAATATGTCACAAGAAACCAGGCAAGTCACCCTATTCCCACTACCTTTAAACATTTAGAGAGTCATAAAATACAAAGTGAAATTTTTAGCCCAGCTTTTTTCTCTTTCCCATTAAAAAATAATACAAATGTTCCTAAACATTTGGAAAGTTTAGAAATTTATGAAGAAGTGGGAGAAAAACCAATGACGTAGATAACCTTAACCACCTGGAAACAATTTAATGTTCACAATTTAAATGTAATTCCTTCTAGTCTTTTTATGCTACATATTCAATTTTATATCCTCTTTCCCTATAAAATACGTTTTTCTCTCATGACATTTCCTTTATAAATCTAGTTTTTCATGTCTTCAGAACATCCTTCCAATTATGGTCATATTTAGGTTGATTTTAATTTTTTCTTATTATACCATCACCACTATGACCACCTTTGTGACTAAAATCTTGTTGCATTTTTTATCCTTTCCTTAGGATGCCAAATCATGCGTACTTTCTCCTTTTTTAATAGTCACAAGCTTATAACTACTAGTTGAGCTGCATGGAATCTTTGTTAACGGGACAGACTAAATGTTACCTTACTGCTGCTCTGCTGCTTTATTATACATATCCCTGATCACTAGTGAGATTAAATATGTTTAAAAATATTAGCCACTAATGTATCAGTATCTCTTCTGTGAATTCTCCAGTTCTGTCTCTTTCCTCATTTTCTATCAGGGTCCACGTGTCTCTACATAAACTCTAAACAAAAAATAGGCAAACCAGCTAACAATTTAATGTCTTGTAAACAACTACTATATGAACTGAAACAGGATTTCATACTGTTTTCTTTTGATACTTATGACTTTAATACTTATAATTGAATATGTATTCCTCTCAGAGTTTAAATCTGGCTGTCAATACAGTTACCTTTCTAAGCAGCCTACCTGAGAATTTGAGCCAGAATCTTCTTTTTTGGTTTTCATTGGTACCTTTGTGCCTACATTAAAAAAAAAAAAAAAAAAGTCAAAAGTCAGATGTAAAGACCACATAGTATTAGAAATAAATTAGAAATGAACTGTTAGGTCGGGGGTGGGAGTGAAAAAGTCTGAGACTTCAGACCAGTCTCTCCACGTGTTGGCAATGTTACCTAGCTAGACCCGTAGTGGCCTCTCTGAGCTTGTTCACCTAAATGTAAAGTGAGGAAGGATGCACATTAGTTATACCTGTATGGCAGTGGTCCCTAACTTTTTGGCATGAGGGGACAATTTCATAGAAGACAATTTTTCCAGATACAGGGGGAAGGGAGGGGCCCAGTAGCAGAGCTCAGGCAATGATGTGAGCCATGGGGAGCTGCTGTAAATACAGATGAAGCTTCATGTGCCCACCCACTGCACACCTCCCACTGTGCAGCCCAATTCCTAACAGGCCACAGACCAGAACCCTTTTGGTACCAGGCACCAGTTTCATGGGGTGGGCAGGGGGATGGGACAGGAAGCAGAGCCCAGGCAGTGATGCTGACAGCCAGTTCCTAACCAGGCCACCGTCTAGGGGTTTGGGAGCACAGCTCTAGAATTCATATTTCTATTTAAAAGTCTTTGTATTTCTTATATGAAGATAATACTAATTACTTCAAACACCAAAACCAGCTCTTTGAGATATAACCAAAGTAATGACTATCCCACATGAATTACCATTTTAAAATCATTTTTATTTCCACCCTAAACAGGAGGATGGCAATATGGATTATTTTTCAGTTTAAGTATAATCCCACTACTTGCTTTATTTGAATCAGGACATGACATAATAAAAACATCATATTAACCATACTCACTTAAAACATTTGCACCAGAGATGGGATAATCCTCAATAATTTCCACAAAGTTAAGGGGGAATATCCCACTTCTGTCTCCAAGTTCTCCTCTGGCCCATTCATCGTTCACATACTCTTTGAGAATGATAATTTCTCCCTCTAAGAAACTTAACTCATCCTTTTGGTCGCCAACATATTCAAACCGTGCAACACATCTTGGGCTCCTGAACAAAGAACACATTTTGCGGGTTAAAATAGAGAGTACTTTTAAAATACTTTAAAATCATTCAGTCTTTCAACATACATTTGTTCTGTTCTTACGGAACAAGATACTAGGCTAAGTTAAATTTTTCCTTGAGAATGAGTAAGTTACACTTTTAAATGACAGTGCTTACGTTTTAGGTATGAACTTACTCACCCCAAAAGGCTAAAGCTCAAGGTTATAGAGTTTGTAAAGAAATCCAGATAAGCAGCTAGGTGGTTAGTTTACATTGCCATATCTTTTGATCATCTTAGTAATTCATTACAGAATTTCCCTCATCTCCATGTATTTGTGTCGTTGGGCCACTGCAATTCACGGGCCAGGCTGTACCTTCCAATCATAAGGGCACAGAGTTAGGGGTGCTAATTCTGAGAATCTCAGGGCAAGATAGGAAACTTCCTGATCAAGAATCAGGGAAGGGCTTGGCGCCTGTGGCTCAAGTGGCTAAGGCGCCAGCCATGTACACCTAAGGTGGTTGGTTTGAATCCAGCCCAGGCCTGCCAAACAACAATGATGGCTGCAACCAAAAAATAGCCAGGCATTGTGGCGGGCGCCTGTGGTCCCAGCTACTTGGGAGGCTGAGGCAGGAGACTTGCTTGAGCCCAGGAGTTGGAGATTGCTATGAGCTGTGATGCCACAGCACTCTACACAGGGGGGCAGCTTGAGGCTCTGTCTCAAAAAAAAAAAAAAAAGAATCAGGGAAGATGGACAGTGCCTGTGGCTCAGTGGGTAGGGGGCCAAGGGTGGGGAGTTCAAACCCGGCCCCGGCCAAATTGCAACAAAAAAAATAGCTGGGTATTATGGAGGGTGCTTGTAGTACTAGCTACTTGGGAGGCTGAGGCAAGAGAATCGCCTAAGCCCAGGAGCTGGAGGTTGATGTGAGCTGTGTGACGCCACAGCACTCTACTCAGGGTGACAGAATGAGACTGTCTCTACATACAGACACACACACCCCCCAAAAAAATCTGGGAAGAATGCAATGGGCATCAGCTGGATAGAGTAAATGCTAGTAAGTGCTAAATCAATCAGTGAGTTGGCCTGAAAAACTAGGAGAAGGTTTGAAGAAAACAGAAACTTGGTATATCATAATACATAATCTTATTCCTAATTCTATTGCTTTAAAAAATATTTTAGGGCTGGGCACAGTGTCTCATGCCTGCAATCTTAGCATTCTAGGAGGCCAAGGTGGGAGAGTCATTTTAGGTCAAGAGTTCAAGACCTGCTTCAGCAAGAGTAAGACACAATCTCTACTAAAAGTAGAAAAAATTAAGTCGGGTACATAGAAAAAATTAAGTGGGTACATGGTGGTTCACACCTGTAATCCCAGAACTCTGGTAGGCTGAGGTGGGTGGATTGCTTGAACTTAAGAGTTTGAGACTAAACTGAGTAAGAGTAAGACTTGTCTCTATAAAAATAGAAACAAACAAACAAACAAACCCAACAAACTAGCTGGGAATTGTGGTGGGTGCCTATAGTCCCAGCTACTCAGGAGGGTGAGGCGAGAGGATCTCTTGAACCCAGGAATTTGAAGTTGCTGCGAGGTATGATGCTACGGCACTCCATCAAGGGTGACAGAGTGAGACTCTGTCTCAAAAAAAAGAAAAAGAAAAAAGCCAGGTGTTGTGGTAGGTGCCTATAGTCCCAGCTACTTGGAAAACCTAGGCAGGAAGATTACGTGAGCCTGGGAGTTTGAGGTTGCAGTGAGCTAGGGTGATGTTACTGCATTCTAGTGGGGGTGACAGAGTAAGACTCTGTCTCAAAAATAAAATAAAAATGAATTTTCACTTTTTTTTTTT